ACGGATTAACCGTATTTACATTGAACCTTATGGGAAAATTTGATTCGGGTCGCGACCAGAGGCGCGGAACAAATTAAGTTCGTGACCTGAGGTACCACTGTATTTGGATCAGTACTTGAAAACAATTTGGAAGCATCATTAATGAACGCAGCAACAAGGGTGTTATCTGGAACATGAGGATTCAGGGACCACACAAAAGAACTGTTTCAGCTGCCAATGTGTTGTTCAACGGTTTAGGCCTCAGCATTTGGATGAGCCCTTTTCCCAAAATGTGTCTAGTAAGAGGTTTGTTTGTTTATTTATTCAATTTGTATGGCTGCCTATCCCACCTAAGTGACTCTGGAGAGCTCTCAACAGGTAAAAACAGTTCAGTAAAAAGTTAAAAACCCATATACAAACACGTAAAACCATCAACAGCTGCTTCAGAACAAAAAAATAACTACGGTAGCAGAATCCACCCTTGCAGCAGCTCAACGCAGCCACTGTAAAAGCTCGCCACCGTTGCCGGACCCCCAAGCACGGGGTCAGAGTCACGCCTTCAGGGCCCCTGTAAGGGCCGGGCGGTTCGGGGCCAATATCAGCCCCGGGGGGGTGATATTCCAAGGTGCGGGAGACACGGCAGAAAAAGTTCTCTGCCTGGGGCCTCTCAGACGACACTCTTGTTGACGGGACCTGTAACGTGCCTCTCCCGCTGGCTGGTCCTGACGGGATGGGCAGGTGCAAACGGGGAGAGGCGGTCCCTCAGATAACCCGGTTAAGGGTCCCACGGGTGGGAAAGGTGCGTTCAGTGGCAGTGCCGCTACTGTTTGGGGATGCTGGCTTTGGCATGCCAGCATGGTGCCAGGATGGCCTGCTTTTCTGCACCAAATGGAAGTTGGACTTTCTATGCTCAGACTTGGAACTTGGGCTTTTCATCCCAGCCGCGTTAGCGTGCATTTCTCCGTCTTTGAGTCAGTCGAAAAGTATACAGATGTGAATTTGTTTTGACCAGCTCTGTTCTGCCTTCATGGTGAGGCTGGTGAAAGGTGCCGCCTTCAGTTTTAAGGTGGTGCAATTTAGGGACGGCGGTTGCTGGATTCCTGTGGCTGCATTTCCCTCCTGCCCGCTGCCACCCCTACCTCCTTGTCAGTGTGTGACGGACAGCCCTGGGTGACGGCGGGAGGTGTTGGCATGGAGCTCTGGTTGTCTGGCTGACAGGATACTGGTCTGGAATTGGCCCACTGCCGGGGCTTCTTCTGGACAAGAACCAGGTTCCAGGTTAACCCTAACCCTAGTCTTATGTTCAGAGATAGCCTGAGGACAGGTTCCTGGAGCAGTGGAGGGGCGGTGAGGAGTACCTGGCATTCTCCTTCCAGCACACCGGTGACCTATCTTGGACGGAAAGGGAAACAGAATTTTCCCCAGTTCCCATGCTTTGTTTTACTGAATATTGATTTTTTACTTCTTTTTTTTTTACTGTTACTGTGAGCTGCCCAGGCTTGTGGTTTGTAACATGGGTGACCGTGTACAGTGGGGCAAAAAAGTATTTAGTCAGCCACCAATTGTGCAAGTTCTCCCACTTAAAAATATGAGAG